TGACCTCACCTACAGCCATTTATTGGTCTGTGAGAGCACATAAAGTCCAGTCACCCTGTATAAACACTTAATATATCCAGCAACCACTTCTATCATTTTAGGGGGAAAGCAGTTTCATTTAAGCCTAATACTTTCCTTGAGCTCATCTTTATCACATTGTTCTGATCACAGCTTCATCAATCAAAGAGTCACTCTGAAAAGCATTAATACATCTGAGGCCCTGCATTCTGTTATCACAGGTGAGATTCCAAATACTACTCATCAATAATTCTACAGTTTTAAACTCTGAATTACCTGATTAGCCTTTTTTTTCCAAAAATGTCCTTTTTTGGCACAAAGAAATCCATATACGATAAACTGAGAATTTCCACAACAGCTAAATAGATGAAAGCCTTTTAACATTATTTTTCAATTATAGCAGAATTCATCAAGTGCTGAATTAGGTCCAACCCCTCAAAAACTGTAGAGTATCAGCAAGAAAAAAAATCTGAAATTTTATAGACATTTTCAGCCAGCAGAATTTTATTGCATTACTGAACTCACAACAGTATGCATTCCTTTTGAACTCTCAGAAAAAAAATTCAAAGAACACTAAATAATAAGCAAGCAAATACCAAAGACAAAAAGCCCAAACTGGACCCAAGACTAAACTGGACCGACCAGTGGCGAACCTCCCTTATTTGGGCAAGGTGTTGGAGCGGGTTGTGGCCCAGCAACTCCAGGCGCTGCTGGATGAAATGGATTTTCTAGATCCATTTCAATCAGGTTTCAGGCCGGGCTTTGGTACGGAGACCGCCTTGGTTGCCCTGTATGATGACCTTTGCTGGGAGAGAGACGGGGGAGTGTGACCATGTTGATACTCCTGGACCTCTCAGCGGCTTTCAACACCATCGACCATGGTGTCCTTCCAGATAGGCTGGCTGGATTTGGAGTTGGGGGCACTGCTTTATGGTGGTTCTGCTCCTTCCTATCTGACCATGTCCAGAGGGTGGTGCTGGGGGACAGTTGCTCTGCCCCATGGCAGTTATGTCATAGGGTTCCTCAGGGCTCAATACTGTCCCCCATGCTGTTCAACATCTACATGAAACCACTGGGAGAGGTCATCAGGAGGTTTGGGCTGAGGAGTCTGCAATATGCTGACGATACTCAGCTCTACCTCTCGTTTTCCACCAATCCAGGTGAGGCAGTTTCTGAGCTGAACTCATGTTTGGACCTGATAATGGACTGGATGAGGGTTAATAAATTGAAACTCAATCCAGACAAGACAGAAGTGTTGTTAATGGGTGCTTTGCTGGACAGGCTAGAGGGCCATTTCCCTGCCCTGAATGGGGTTGCACTCCCCCTAAGGGACAGGGTCCGCAGCCTGGGGATGCTCCTGGACCCCAGTCTAACTCTGGAAGCCCAGGTGGATTCAGTGGCCAGGGGCACCTTCCTTCAGCTATGGAAATTATACCAGCTACAGCCCTACCTGGACAAGCACAGTCTCATGACAGTTATGCATGCACTGGTAACATCCTATATAGATTACTGCAATGTGCTCTATGTTGGGCTGCCTTTGAAGATGGTCCGGCGACTGCAGTTGGTTCAGAATCGAGCTGCATGGCTGGTGAGTGGTGTGGCCGCTAGGGAACGCATCTGTTTAAATTACATTAGCTACCAGTCGCTGCCTGGGCCCAATTCAAAGTGCTCATTTTGACATATAAAGCCCTAAACGGCGTGGGCCCTGGATACCTGAAGGACCACCTCCTTCTATATGAACCTACCCGGTAGTTAAGATCTAGCCAGGGGACCCTCCTGAAAGAGCCATCCCTCAAGGAATTAAGAGGGACAGCTTGTAGACAAAGGGCCTTCTCTCGGCAGCTGCCCCCAGACTATGGAACACCATCCTGAGTCAGATTCGTCTGGAACTGACGTTGATAATGTTTTGGCACCAGGCCAAAATCTTCCTGTTCCAGAAGGCTTTTAATTGAAATAATATCAACTGTGGGTCCTGATGGCAATTTTTAGAGCACTGTATTTTTAATTTAATTTTAATTGTTTTATCTTTTTATTGTATTTAAATTGTTGTAAGCCGCCCAGAGACCTTTGGTTAGTGTGGGTGGCATATAAATAAATAAATAAATAAATAAATAATCATTATCATCATCATCAACAACTGTGGAAAGATCGCCATTCTCTTATGTCCTATTCAACAGCAGTGAAAACAAACATAATATAAATGAACACATTCCATGTGGCAAATACCTGCTGGTGAGTCACTACAGGGGGACAACTTTGGCTAACATTCATATGGCAACTATAACATGTGCCTTTTAGGCTAGGATCCTGTTGGATTTTGGGGTGCACAAGGGGGACATTTACACAAACAATTTTCATAATTTTCGTGTATGTGGTTACACAACTCATAGAAAAATGGCTTGCATAACCTGGTTGGCTATATCATGTGGTTACACGACTCATAGAAAAATGGCTTGCATAACCTGGCCACAAAATAGCAGTATGTCCTTGTGTGATTGCCCTATTGTGCTGGAGAACTCCAACAGGATACTGGCTTTCATTTTTTAAAAACTTTCATTTGTGATTCCAATGGTTTCTCTTCCAACATGGTGCTGCCCAAGTGGAACCATTTTGTAAAGCTGAAAATGCACTAATCAGCTGTTCTGGTAAGGAATATGGAAGAGGTTTGGAAAAATGAAGAAAGTCATAGATTCTGTCTGTTGCACTTCCCCTAAGGGGAATAGCTGCACAACACAATATATATATTTTTAACAAGAAATCTTCCATGGATAGAGCCTCATTTGTCACCAGAAAGACCCCACACATTTCCTCCTTCCCTTTTATTTGCCTCCAAATCTGCTCTGGAAAGTTTCCCTAATCCTTCAGAACAGATGGGGACATGGAAGACTGGAAAAAGAAGGGGTGTCTGTTCCACTGGCAGATGAGAAACAGCACAATAAAATATTTTGCCCTCAAATGTTTTAAATCACAAAACTTTGCTGCATTATTATATAAGCAAAGTATAAATGAATCAAACTTGATACCAGATAAAACAGAAATATTTATCATGAACTAGGCCTATTTTTTATCTGCACATCACACATAGCATTGTGTTCAAGTTTTTTTCCCCAATAAGACTTTGATTTTCTCTCTTTTTTAAAAAATGAAAACAATAAAATATATATATTTTAGAAATACGAACTACACATGTGCATTTCAGCCTCTAAGTGTCTTATACTGAAATAAAGCATGTTCTCAGTTTCTAACAAAGGCTTTAAATTTAGTCCAAAATTAAGTACATTCTCTCTCCACACATGAAAAAATCAGGATTTTTTAAAAAGTAAATTAATTTGGTCTAGATTTAATTAATTAGACAGACCTACAGCCATTCTGACGCAGACCAACCACTACAATAAGAGAAAATGCCTCATTGGAGAACACCTGCGGTATTTGGCTCTGTCCCGGCCAGTTTGTGAGAAGGGGCTTTCATGACTGAGACACGCAGATTCATTCAGTAGCATTTTGTACCATCTGACATATTCAGAGTTAATGAGAACACCACTCCTTTGGCTAAAATGAATAGTCCTTTCAAATTCAGAAATCAAATGAATGCCTGTTTCCTTAGGCAAGGACAGTATACGGTTGTTTCTCTGCATAAACTAGATTTCCAGAGAAGCAGAAGATTCAGAACAGATATGTTACTTATATAGAATCTCAGCTTTGTAGCATATCCACAGGGTTCAGTATTTGGTGACTCCGCACTCAGTGCTTCATTTTTCGAAAGCAGGATATACATGTTCAGCACCTTCTAGACCCAAGTTATAGGTCAAAGGGATTAGTGAGGCTAGCATGGATGGAACAAGGATTAACGTTATGGGAGTCTCTAGCACATAGACAACATTTATCTCATAGTTTTTCCTCAAATAGTTGCTATAGGCTTTTCTGCAACAAACAGCTGTGGGAGGAGGAATCTGGAGCAGGACAGTTGTGTAGAACTGCTTCATCCTTTTGCTCCCCACTGTCCCTACCAGATCTGCCTCCTGGTACACATGCGCTTGTTATTTAGAATAGGAAGAAAGTTGCTGGCAGAGCGAGTTATTTACAATACAGACAGCAGTAGGGCAAAGTAATAATCCTGCAACACCCACACTCTCCCAACACGCACTCTGTAGTTCCAGTCCAGATCAGACTTTGCAGCACTGGCTACTTGTTGAAGGGCAAACAACAACACAAGGGTGAAATTAATAGCAATTTTCATGGGTGGTCTGGTCTTTCGAATAACAATGGTTGCAACAATGATTCGTGTGAGAAATATAACTTTTTAAATATATGGCATTTCAGCCATGATTTGAGACTAAGAAATATGATCACACACATTACAAATTCTTACACTAATCTAGACATTTTGGGTCCCCACAGCATCTCCTGCCCAAGAACAGAATCTTCATTATGTCTTCACATTCACGTGGACTGGTGCTTCAGGTCTATTTCGTGATGCATAGTGCAGAAATACATATAAGCGGGCAAGCGGTGTAGAAGTCCAGTCTGAACGCCTCTGGAGCAGCTTCTCTACTGTTCCTGTGTTTCTGCATTCATAATGCACAGTGCATCAAGAAGCAAATCTGAATTGGATTGTTAGGATTATGCTAGAATTTGGAACACAAAGACCAGGACTTTTACATTTTGTTTATTTGAATTCTTATTAATAAAATGTTATACATTGAGTTTCCCATACATTCCATCTTGCTCAGTGAATTCTGCAGTCCTTAAATCTTTAAATGCCAACAATCAAAGCAATGGAAATAGTATTACTAAGATACAAAGGTATCCTCAACTGAAAATGCTGCATGCATCTTCTAAATGCTTTTGGAAAACACTGACTTTGTATGGTCTATAGCTCAAGCAAGTTCATAAGCAACAAGTCATCTCTTTAAAACAGTACAAATATAAATATATTGCTAGTTGTTTCATTTATATTTAGTAATTATCAGCATGCAGCTAACCTTTGTGTTTCCCCTTTTTTTCCTGTCTGGTGTTGCCAGTTTGGCAGCCTCCCGTAGCTGCCTTAGCTTTTTTAGTTGATTTTGGAGCTTGTGAGTCTGTTACCACTTTTACATCTTCTTGGTCAGCCTCCTGTACTGCTTGAGATATTCAGGACACCCCAAAAAGAGAGAGAGAGAGAAGAACGAGACCAAGACAAAGGAAACAGGAGAAAAATGAGAGAGAGAAGAAGTCAGATGAAAAACCATGGAAAAGTAAGCAAATAAAGCAGATTGTAAAAGCACATTTTTCAGTTAATTCAGGAGAAAGAAAAATGCACCAGATGAAAGTCTACAGGGTTACAATAGATTTTTTTACATGTTAGTATACAGTGTTAGTCAAACAGTTGGTAGTCATTCTGGATCAAACTGGAAGATATAGTTGGTGTGTCCTGAAAAACGAAGCTCTCTTAAGAGATGAAACATATTTTCGCGAAGGCTTTCATGGCCGGGATCTAATGGTTGTTGTGGGTTTTTCGGGCTCTTTGGCCGTATTCTGAAGGTTGTTCTTCCTAACATTTCGCCAGTCTCTATCCTCTGAAGATGTGCTGTCCTATGAAGATGCCGGCCACAGAGACTGGCGAAACGTTAGGAAGAACAACCTTCAGAACACAGCCAAAGAGTCAGAAAAACCCACAACAACCATAAAACATATCTGTTCATACAAATATTAACTCTTCTTTCACATGTTGCAAATCAGCTTGTAACTGATTTACATCAAGATGTAAATACTTCCTTCATTTGCAAGTCTGACTGCTCGGCTACACAGGTCAGAACTACATGTATGAAGGGAAGACACTGAAATTTCATTTAATGTCCAATTTGACCATGAATATGACATTCTGATTATATGAATCAGCTCCGGCTGCTTTCAACTGGCATTCTTCAAGGATGTTAATAGAACTCTATGTGATGTCCTTAGTGAGAATTCTGTTTCTATATATACCTTGTATTATATGTTTTAAAGTTGTACACTGTCCAGTAAGTTATAACAAAATTGGGGGAGGGGACCCCACCTTATTAAAATGGTATTACTATTCCTTTAATAATAAGGGCTCAGTGAGATCTATTGTTTCTATCCAACTCGCCACTTTAAACTTCAAAGAGCAGTGGTTAGCTGCAGGACCACTAATTTCCCTGTAGGTGCACCACATTGAAATTCTTACACATAAATATACCACTTACTGGCAAAACAGTATGCATTGCATAAAACAAATTGTTTTGGTCTGTGACTTCTCTTTGTGCACATACATTTTTAAAATGTGCAAAGAAAAGAACAAAACAAAATTTAAGCACCAGGTACCATAAAATATCATATTCAGTGTCTGCAAACCAACCTTATGAAAGTTTACCCAGAAGACAGACCTCCTTAGTTTCAGAAGAGCTTACTCCTATGTAACTGCAAAAAACTGTCATTCTCATGCTAAAAGCAGTATGGACCTCTAAACTGAATAAAAATAATTGTAGTTTCATACTTTATTCAAGTTTACTTATTTGAAACATTACATATATTTCCACAACAAACCATCATTACAGAATTAGACAAAATTAAACAGTGATGTTCTGCAGTTCCAGAGCACACTTTAGGATACCACTTCTCAGGAAGCCCTGAGAAACACATATTTCTTCATCATCATCATAGTCATCATCTTTGTCAAGGAGTTCCTCAAATTCCACTTGTTAAGAATTTTTAATTAATTTTGCAGTTCTGCAACTTTCCAAACTCAATAAAATTGTCTCATGAATATACTAGTTCTTTTCAAAAATTAGTTGCCATGCAATTCTTTCTCTAAAAGATACATTTTACCCACTTGACAATCTGAGAGTTTAAATTAAATCCTTATCCCATACACTTAAGTTTTAATGACATGCTGAAGCTCTACAGTCAAAATGAATTTGAAATATTAAGGTCCTGGGTACAATCCACAAGGGGTAAGCCACGTTAAACTTAGTGGCCAATATCCTGTTGTGCATTTATGCGAAAGGTGTAACTTTTAGCAGTGAATTGCCAGAAGTTAAGAAATCACTGTAGCCATTATCTATTGAATTACACAGCAGTTTACCAATAGAAGTTATACCTTTTGCATAAATGCACAACTAGTTTTCGGCCACTGTGCTTTAGTTCCAAATTAATCTATAAAATTATTGTACTAACAGATAGTAGGCATGGGACTTTGGGATTCTTGGACACACACACACACACACCCTGAATTTCCAGCCAGAATTCTGGGGGCTCACAGGGGTTTTCAGTTACCGATGGAGAACAAAGGCTCCAGCAGCCATTCTTTTCTTGTGAAAAAGAAAAAGGAAATGGCTAAGTTCCATGGGAGCTCCAAAGGTTTAGAAGACTGGTAATCTCTCTGCACATTAGGCTCTGTACAGTGTGCCGCTCAAAAACTACCGGTCCTCTAACCCCTTGCAGCTCCCATAATGCTTAGACTATCTCAGTCTAAACTTCTTCCAAAAGTTCTATGCCTAACATTTGTATGGAATAAGGATTTAATGTATGGAATAAGGATTTAATGTAAGCTCTTAGGCCTTGAGAGCTGGCCTATCTTGCAGCATCTTTTAACAATATTGTTGGCTTATCAGACCACTTAGACACACATGATTTTATATGCAGTTCCTATTACTGTAGTATATTTCATTATATTAGCTTATTAAGGCCAGGATGTAACCATACAAAACAGGTCTTTATGCACTTATGTAGTCTATCTGTTAATAGCCCAAGGTTGACCCTAAGCAAGCCCTTGCCAGAATTCAACTGTGTATTAAAGTTTAGAAGCAATGACTATTTTGCATGTGTTGCTGTACTGCTCAAGATAGTTTTCTGCAATCCTCTATCACTTCACATCCTATTATATCATAAATTAGTAAAATAATATGAAGCTTAAAATATAAATATCACTGTGAGCTGCATTATAATGAATTAGTTCTAAAAGAGAACATTCTGAACAATTGTCAAAGTCTAGAATTAACTACATATAAGTAATTTTGTAATTAAGAACCTAAATAACCGACTTCAGCACTAGGCCATATTCTAGTTTGTTTATTTCTTTAATTTGTATACTGCCCATCTAGCCAGGCTAGATACCAGATAACAACTGGTACCTTGCCAACCACATAATCAGTATCAGATATTAAACGTTGGTGCTAAAAGCAGGAAAACCAGTTTTTGAAACAGGAAAGCTATACAAAGGCTGAAAACCAGTGCACACTTATCTGGGAATGAGTCCAACTGAACTCTGTAGGACTTATGTCTAAGTAAACATTCACAGCATTGTATGATATATGCTGCATAATATTGAGAGATTGCATAATATTGCATTACTGGTTGAAAATTAATTCCATCCCATGAAAACAGAAAGTCATATCTAACTCAAAGTGGGATACAATGCCAATAAAAATTTTTAAAAAGCCTGGCACATTCCTCCCTTCCTTATTTTGAAATGGAAACAAGGCTCTAAAATCAAAGGGAATTTAAGCCCAACATAAGGAGTCAATTTCCTAGATGTGTAAGCAGCCATGGCCCCTCCTAGAACACATGGGAACACTGTAGTGTGTTCAAAGGGAGCAAAAATAACAATCACTGCTATTTCTGCCATATGTTACCTAAGAAGAATACAACAACAATTGTGGAAATACCTTGCAGCTTCCTACACAAATGGGTTACACGAACACCCCAACCGATAGCAAGACTACAACGTCATAGTTGCTCATATGCAGTGCGTTCTGACTATGAACGAACACTACGTTTATGACCTTAAAAATACTATTCAGTCACTGGCTAGTTTGAATCTTACTGCTCAGTTAAAACACGTAGTATTTTTAAAGCAATATAATTTTTACTGAAGCATTTATAGTACAATCCTACACAACCTACACAATACAGTTCTAAGTCTCAAGTTGAATTCAGTTTTAAGAAGGCATATCATCCACGCTGTTCCTCACGACTATCTGATAAAAATAAAAGAAAAACAGAGAAAACAAAAACATTGTGGCATCTTTAAAAAAATAACAGCTCGTGGGCTAAACCGCAGAAGCCTGTGCTGCAGGGTCAGAAGATCCGGCAGTCGTAAGATCGAATCCACGCAACGGAATGAGCACCCGTCGCTTGTCCCAGCTCCCGCCAACCTAGCGGTTCGAAAGCATGCAAATGCGAGTAGATAAATAGGGACCACCTCGGTGGGAAGGTAAACAGCGTTCCGTGTCTAAATCACACTGGCCATGTGACCTGGCATATCATCCACACTGTTCCTCACGACTATCTGATTAAAAACAAAAGAAAAATAGAGAAAACAAAAACACTGTGACATCTTTAAAAAATAACTGTTCTATTTTAATGTGAGCTTTTGTTGACAAGTCACATTAAAAAACAACAGTTAGTCTTTAAGGGCCCACAATGTCTTTGTCTTCTTTATTTTCATTTTGCTTTTGCCTTATATGCTAGCACTGACCAGCACAGTTACTCCTTCTAATACTATGAATGAGTGTGGGAAACTTCTGCTTAAAGGTTGGACAAGTCACATTAAAAAACAACAGTTAGTCTTTAAGGGCCCACAATGTTTTTGTCTTCTTTATTTTCCTTTTGCTTTTGCCTTATATGCTAGCACTGACCAGCACAGTTACTTCTTCTAAAACTATGACCGAGTGTGGGAAACTTCTGCTTAAAGGTTGTAGCTGCATTCTGTTCCAGTGATTTGCATACACTCCTGGCAGCTGCCAGCAGGCGGGGAACCCCTTATTCTGCCCTTTCGCTTAGAGGTAGAGCATAAAGTCAAAGAGTTATTTTAACAACATACTATGTTTCTAACAACATACTATGTAACTTATGCTAAGTCAATAAAAAGAGCTCTCAGGGTATTGCCTTGAGGTTCTGCTGGCTCGGACATCTGTTGTTGACTCCTTTGTTCTAAGGCACTTAGCCTTCCTTTGTTCCGTGATCATCCACAACTGAGTTTGTGATTTATTTTTTCAGCACAAATAAAATATGTTAATTGGATTTTCTGGCTCATAAATATAATACAATACAATATAAAACCAATACATCACTGTGGAAGCTGTGACATTTCATGTAGAAAATGTAGTTGCTTAATACAGTATATGTTGACAATAGGTGAAACTGAATACTTGCGTTGGCATTGGAATATAGGGTAGCAGAGTGAAGTGGGTTGCGGTCCACAAAAGCTTTTTTCAAATAAAGTGCTGTAACTCTCTATGTTGTTTTTGATTGTGTTGTTATTATGTACACTGATATGTGTTAGTTGCATAACAAGCTGTGTAATGTTAGTTCTCTAATAACTACTGTTTCCAGTCAGTCAGTCAGTCAGTCAGTCAGTTTGTTTGCTTGCTTGCTTGTTTGTTTAAAATATTTTACCCCACTCTTCTCCCTAAAAGGACCCAAGGCAGCTTACAACATTAAAATGACAATACCTAAAAGCTAAGAATGCCCTTGATCCATTCCAGTCCAGGTTCAGGCCGCATCATGGCACGAAGACAGCATTGGTCGCCCTGCAAAATGACCTCCTGAGTGAAGCTGATGGGGGCAAAAAATCCTTGTTGGTCCTTCTCAATCTCTCTGAAGCCTTTGATACCACGGTATCCTCCTGGAGAGGCTCTCAGGATTGGGGACCAGTGGTCAGGCCTTGGCTGAGAGTTGCTCCATGGACTCTCAATTGTGGGGTCCCCTGGGGGTCAATCATTTCATCAATGCTATTTAATATCTATATGAGGCTGCAGGGGGAGATCATCGGGAGTTTTAGAGCTGTGTGTCACCAATATGAGGATGACACTCAGCTCTAGCTCTCCTTCCACCCTTCTGCAATGGATGCTGTCCTGTCCCTTGAGCGCTGTGGATGCGGTGCTGGGATGGATGATGGAAAACAGACGGAGGCTGAATCTCGACAAGAAGGAAATCCTGTGGGTGGGGGACCCTAGTGCCTGTCATCTGGGAGCCTCCCTGTCTTTCAGGGAGGTCACTCTTTCCATAAAGGATGAGGTGCGTAGCTTGGGTGTACTTCTGGACCCAGCACTATCAAGGCATCACAGGTAGCATCTGTGGTCCCTTCCACTTATTTCCATCCAAACCAGGTCACCCAGCTATGCCCCTACCTTGACATCAGGTCCCTTACCAGTCACCCAGCTGTGCCCCTACCTTGACATCAGGTCCCTTACCACACTGGTTCATGCGCTGGTAGTCTCGAGATTAGACTACTGCAATGCCCTTTATGTGGGGCTACCCTTGGGAGTGCTACAGAGATTGCAATGGGTCCAGAACACAGTGGCCAGATTACTGAGTGGGACAAGGAAATACCAAAACTTCTGGCTGCCTTACACTGGCTTCCTGTTTGCTTCTGTACCAATTTCAAGGTAATAGTATTAACCTAAGGTAAAGGTAAAGGTTCCCCTTGACAATTTTTGTCCAGTTGTGTTCGACTCTAGGGGGCGGTGCTCATCCTCATTTCCAAGCCATAGAGCCAGCGTTTGTCCGAAGACAATCTTCCGCGGTCACATGGCCAGTGCGACTTACACACAGAAAGCTGCTACCTTCCCACCAAGGTGGTCCCTATTTATCTACTTGCATTTGCATGCTTTCGAATCGCTAGGTTGGCAGTAGCTGGGACAAGCAACGGGGGCTCACTCCATCACATGGATTCAATCTTACAGCTGAAGATCTACAGACCTTACAGCACAGAGGCTTTTGC